AGATAAAATTGTCTAAGCTTAGTATTCTTAAGATTATATATAGCCATATAAGGCGAAATTTAACATCTAATAAAGATACGAGGCAAGACCTCACCTTAACACCGAAAAAAAAAATATATATATTCAATAAATATTCAATAAATTATTTGATGAATAAATTAAATATTTGAATATTCAATTTGGTGAAAAAAATTTATTTGAATATTCGAATATTTAGTGAATATTCAAATATACTATTCATTAGATCAAACCTCTACTTGTAAGTGCATGTAGGTAATCGGTTAGGTTATGTGAGATAACTGCAAGATATTAGACCTATAGTTTTAATGTTATATACTTCCACAAGTGGCACTTGATTAAATAAAAATACTAGTGTGATCTGCCAAAGTGAAGCAAAAAAATATATATATATATTTTATTTGTAATAAATTATCTAATATCACGATTATAAATAGATCAATGATGTATTAGGAAAATTGGAAAATCGATTGCATAATTGTTTATATTACATAATTAGTATATCTAGCAAATATAGCAGATTTAGTGAATATAGCATATTATGTGGATTTAGTATAAATAATAGAATTGATCAAAATAGCATAACTAGCATATATAGTATAACTAGTATAATTAGCAAATATAGCATATTAGGTAGATATATAATTATTATAAAAGCATAAGCATTTATTGAGCTGAAAGGTGTCTCACAAACATCGTAATTAATAAACTACATATTTGCTTTGCCAAATCAAATATTCTCTTTTGAGATATTATAGTATTATTGTTGAACATTATGCAAACCCTTTCCTGGTTTATCTATCAAGTAGAGATTTTTAGGCGTATGTTTTACTACAGCATTATATTTGGTGAATTACTGTGAGATTCGTCCTCACCCCTCCACCGATAAAAAGAAAATTGAGAAGACATGAATATTGGAGAAAGATATTAGGAAATAAGAAGTAAACTACAGAACAATAAACATATATACTCTAAGGATATGAGTAAAGAAGACTAAACAGCAATAAGACTATTGAAACATCAGAAACCAAAAGACTAATGATCAAGGCATAAAGGACTAATGGCTATAAACTATCAAAGTGAAATAAAGTTCAAAGCCAGAATTATAAGGAAAAGACCAAAGTCAGAACATAAAGGAAAGACAAAATTAAGACATAAGAAATCGTCAAAGTCAAAGCTTAAGAAGAAAAAGCCAAGACAATTAGTTAGATAAAGTTTTAAGAACGAAACACCAAAAGATTCTAGAACAAGCATAGTATTTGAAAATACTTTCCTGACATAACAAGGCTGTAGCAAATAACTGGAAGAAAGAAAAACAAGGTTTTGAAAATATTCAAAAATCAACATAGTAGAAAAAACTAGGTTAGCAACATATTTTTAACAAGAATAAGCAGCAAAACATTTAAGTGCACAAAACCAGCTATTACAAAATTTAAGTGTAATCTAAAGCAAAGATCAACAGATAAACTTTGAAAGTGATGAAAATAAGCTTAGAGATCTACAAATAGATAATAAAGAAATTAAGTAATCGTGACAAAGTTTGTTATAAGGATTGATACTCAAACAATAGAATAATAGAACACAAATGTTATAAAATCAGAAAAATTATCCAAGTGACAGACTTTTTGTAAAAAGTAACATACAAACTCCAGAACAATTTTTACAAAAGAATTAGTAATCACCACACAAGCTAATCGACTCTGGGAAATTTGATATAAAGACATCAAGAAAAATAAAATTTTATTATTATTTTTTTTTTTTCGTCTTCCTATTAATATTTTTTTAGTAAAACACAAACATGCTTATTACTAAAAACTCTAAAATATTAGAACTTATAGCTGAAAAAGTGTAAAACTTTACAAATACAGAATTTTTTTTTTTTTTATACAATAATCAAACTGAGCGAACAAAAGAACTTTACAAGCACTAAAGGCGTAAAGAATATCTCAGTCTAGGAATACAAGGATCTAAATGATCACCTTCACTACCAAAACTTACTGATCTGAAAGCAAGTTCTATGACGGTAAAAGTACCTGAAAAGAAAGACATTATAATAGATCTGTCTCAGCTACAATTGTTATTTGATAAATTGACCAAATCCTTTAAGGATATGACAAAAAGGATTATTACAGCTAGTAAACCTGAACAAAAGGAACTGAACCTCATAGTAATCAGAAAGTTTCATGAACAAGAAGACGAAGACCCAATTGAATGGTTTGAAGTGTTCGAACAAGCCACTGCAACAAACAACTAGAACAATGAAAGAAGAATTACGATCAGTGTTCGAAATTAGTGTTCTCAGAGGTCTCATGAGAACACAAATTTGTGAGTAAGAACAGCTGAAAGCTGATTTTTTATATTAGAGAACACTCAAAAATTGACTCCAAAAATACTAAATAGAACATGAGAATACTAATTTGTCTCAAATTTCGAACAGTGATTACAATAGCCACTGGGTATCTCAGTAAAGACTGGTATCGAGAAAATAAGAGCAATATTAGAAAGTGGAATGATAAAGACAACCCAGACGAAAGTTTTTTCCACTTACTTTCAACATTTTTTGCAACACCTGACCGACACTACCATTGACAGATCGAACTAAATGCTCTTGTACAAAAACTTGAAGAAAAAATTGACTCTTACGCTATAAAATTCAAATAACTTTTATGACGAGTTGAAACCAGTGAAAAGCTTCCTGCCCCATATGTTGTACAAATATTTCTTGGTGGCTTGAATGGCAAAATAGCAACTTACATCTCTATGACCACCCCTACAACACTCAATGCTACAATTTCTTGTACAAAAAGGTCAAAGTCAGAGAATACTATGGACAGCAGATGTCGCAACTACCTCAAAGAACTGTAAGCAATATGGAAACTCTAATAAAGGCAATAAACGAAATGTCTATCAACTATGCAAATATGGTGATATTGGATACACAACAAAAAAATTGGAATTAAAGAAAAACTTATCAGCCCAATCAAAGGAATCAAAGCAACCAAAGCAACCAGCATCCACGAAATCTCGACATTGTATGTTTCAACTGCAATAATAAAGGCCATATTGCACGTAATTGCACCCTTCCTAAAAATAATCAAACCCAGAAGAATAACTATTTTAGCAAGAATACTTAGCCCAAAAAAGTAAACTATTGTGAAACAACCAAAAAAATTGATGATAATGATATATGGGTAGAAGAACTATATAATATAGATCAGCTACTTACCAAAAAATAGAGAGGTCGCCCTTCCAAAAACCTGGTAAATAATGCAGTAATTCAGAAACGTAAAAGAAAGAGAATGGTTTCTCCACCTCCGTTAAATTTTGAAGAAGCAATGGCTCTGAAAAATGATATCAAACTATTTCCTCTGGCCCCAAAAATTTAAGTAAACCTAGGTGAAAAAGGGGACCGTTGATTGTTGATAAACTTGAACCATACAATATAGCATATAATCTTTTGTCAACGAAAGCCAATGCCATATATAGACAACTCCTACACTATCCAAATCAGTGTAGGGATTTAGCAAAAGTTATGAAAAGGCCCCTAATCCAAAAGAAGCAAATTTAGTAAACCCACAACTTACTCAATGTATCACGGCTATGAAATATTACATCACTATTGGTGAAGACCCTGTTATTGCCATGTTGGATACAGGCACAGCCATTAGTATTATAACAAAAAGGTTGGCCAACCAATTGGGACTTAGAATTAACGAAGAATCAAAAAACTGTGGTTGTAACTACAACAGGAGCAAGAGAACGTACTTTAGAGAAAATTACAA